AACCCACAGACCGGGAGCCGGATTGCTGAACAGTGTTTTCAAATGAATGAATAATCGAGTGGGAGAGCTCATCCCCTGGGATGTGACTACCAGTTCTGTGAACATTAAGACACATAGGAGAATGTTGAGAGGAAGGCAGAAGGGGAAGGTGGGGCAGAGGAGTGCCCTCAGGAGAAATTAATTAGCCTGGGGATTGGTCTGCTTTGCAGACCAGTGAGGAGGACAGGACAGTCAAAAGCTTTGGGACAGGGAGGAGAAATCATCCTGCCTGGGAACCAACTGGACACGCTGAGATACTGGCATCTCTGACCTAGGCTAGGTCATGGTGTGATGGAAATCAGCATCCTATTATACCCATCAGGAATAACTCCACAAGTGTCCCCTGATCTGCTGTCCTGCGGTGAATCTGCCAACTCCAGCCCCCTTTCCATCCCTTAACTTCTAGGTTAGATGGGGCCTCTGGGCTGAGACAGGCCCTGGGCTAGGATAGAGTTTCAGAGGTCCATGCCAGGAGACTGGGCACCTGTCTCCAGCTCCACTCACTGCTCTGCTCAGAGTGGAACTAGAAAGACTCTTCCCTGGCAGAGGAATCAGATTGAAGTCGCAGTTTTAGGGGTGATGGTAGCAGTTCAGCAAGGTACAGCCAAGGGAGAGAGACCAGGGATCCCTGGCTGTGTGAACTTTAACCAGCCTTGCCCTGTTGGACAGAAGGAGCTGAGGAGTGATAGCATTCCCTGAGCACAGTGGGCCACCAAGGTCACAAACCTGTCCATCCCAGTCTGTTAACCCCTCATTTCCTTCTATCCACCGTCTCTCTGGCAGGATAAGGAGAAAGAATATAGCTGGTTGAGGGCTAACCCTTGGAGCTAAGACTGAAGAAGAAACTGAGTAATGATGGAAGTCTTCAGATGCCCTTGGGATTTGCGCTGTACTGGATGGGCACTGGGCAGCCTGGCAGGGCAGTTCGGCTAAGGTGGAAACATCTCAAAATCCCCAGGCTTTACAGCTCTGGCTTTCTCCCCCTCTCTAAGGCCTGTCAATCCCAGCCTACAGGAAACACACTGAAGTCTCTGGGAGAAGACAACATATCTTCCTCAAGACCTGGGACTTCTGCCTGAAGGGAGACCAGCCCACAGACTGCACAGACAGGTTGAGGCCTGGCATACTGCTCATCAGGTGAGAAAAGCCAACATTCCTTGTGTCTTCTCTCCTTGTGTCCTATCTCCTCCCACCCCACTCCACGTACCCTCGCAGTGTAGGAAAAAGAGGCCACATTTTACTGTCCCCACCAACAAAACATCACCCCTCTGCCTTCCCATTCTTTCCCCCTGCACTGAAACGCCCTTTCCACTCCCAAATCCTTAACTGGTGGTCTCCTATGCATTCTTCCAACCCCAGTTCCAAATCTCACCTCTTCTTGGGAATCTTCCCCCAATCAGACAACAGGAAATCGCTCATTCTTTGTTCATAGACTAGTGTTGTGTGCATATTGCATTGTGCTTGGCTGGGTCAGGACAATGGCTGACCTACCTTTCTGGTCCTGAGACCGACACAATGTCAAAGCCAAAGCCAAAGCAGGCACTCAATAAATAAACATAAAATGTACTTTTGAGCTGTTATACTGCCACCTGCAAACTCCACACACCTGATCCAGCTACAGCCCAGTGTCCAATAAAGAAAGAATGCTGACAAAGCAAAGGGTGATCACAGTGAAGAAGAACCTGAAATTGGTTTTATCAGAAAGAATATAAGGCACCAGGGGTGTTTCAGTTGGAGGAAAGTAGACTTCTAGATTTAGGATGAATTCTTTTGACCACTCTGTAAAAAGCCACAGAAAAAGCAGAATTGATGTATAACACCCAGTGGGCAAGGAACTGAGTACAGGGTTCTCCTTTGCAGAGCCCCGACTCTGAGAAGTCCCAGCTTTTTTGTAGAACTAGGTATATAGCTACAGCCCTCCAGCAGTAGACTGGCCAGATTGCCTCTGGTAGCATCAGGAAACTGGAAAAAGCCATTAGAAGTTGTGGGAAAAGGAATGAATGTCTGCTGAGCATTCATTCTCTGCTACGTGGTTATACACTGCACTGCCTTATTTAATCTTAATGGCAATCCTGTAAGAGAGAAACAATCCCCATTTTATAGATGAGGGAGATGAGGATGAAATGAAGAGAAGTCCATGTTCACATAGCCAGTCAGTATTAAAAACCAGCTGACTCTGCCCCCAAAGCCATGTTCTTTCCTCTGTGTCACACACTGTCCAAGTGGTGGGGAGGGAAGTCGGGCTCTGCAGAAAGAACCCTGCACCCTGAAAGAGAATGGATTGAAAGGGGCAAGGTCCTGGCTCTTCAACCAGATAGGCTATGTTGAAGTAGGGGTGGGGTGAGGTTGGCATAATCAGATGAAATCACGTCAGCCAATGGGTAACAGTGATACAGAAACAGAAAATTAAAAATAGCATGTATCAGGAGCTTCTCGAAAGCAACAGGAATGAACACTGAAGTTGGCCCATAATCTCCTCATTTCTATCCTCCTTTTACCTTTGTTTTCACTAATTGCTCTTTAAAAGCTTCACTCAATAAATATTTATTGGAATATTTATTGATTTTTTTGTGATGTGAATATAAATTTTGAAGACAGATCACTGGGCAAGATAGTGAGATGCTGCTCCTTCCTGCAAGGGAGCATCCCTGCTAACAGCAGGGAGCTGACTTTGTGTACTCTGTGATTTCACTGAAACTTCACCCCTCTTTACTGGCAAAGCAGGAATAGGCTAGACTACTAATAGAACATTTCTAGAAGATGTGGAGCAATGGAAGGAAAGTGCATGTTTTAAGGAAGCAATTGAGTGGGAGACAAAATGAGCGCATTGTTTCCAACATAACTGAAGTCACTTGGGACACTAAGTTTTCTGCCAATGAGGTCAAAGCACAGACAAACCTTGTCCCAGTGTCATATGTAGATGTTTGACCTTCATTCCGTGCCTCTAACAATAACCCCACACAATCCTTTGCCAGGGTCTGGATGCCCAGCGCCTCCCACACCATACTCTGACTGCTGGCTGAAACCCTATTTGTTCTCTAAAATCCAGTTCAAATCTTTTAATTCTTCCCAAACTCCTCCTGGCAGGATAATTTACCCCGACTTAGTTCATAAAATCAGCAAAGTATGACATACTCTGCTAGCTACACTAGGTCGAACTGTTTGCCAGCAGAAGCTAAGGCTCACTTGTCTCTCTCTTCCCCACGTACCTAGTATAGGAGTCAGCAAACTATGGCACAAAGGCCAAGTCTGGCCTCCTATCTTTTTTGTGAATGAAATTTTATTGGAACACATCCGTGGCCATTCATTTACATATATTGTGCCTGTTTTCATGCTACAACAGCAGAGTTGAGTAGCTAGCTGCAACAGAGACCATATACCCACAAATCTAAAATATTTACTATATGATCCTTTTCAAAAACAGGTTTGCCGATTCCCTGAGCTAGCACATCATATGTGGTGAATAAGTGGATGCAGCAAGGTGCTCTGTGAGGATGCTTCAGTGGGTGTTCAGATGACCTGGGTCCCAATTCTGCCCTTGAATCCTTGTTTGACTAAGCAAATGATAATGATAGAAGATAGATGATAGATGGATAGATAGATAGATAGATAGATAGATAGATAGATAGATGATAGACAGCTAAACAGACAGACTTCTGCATGCTTATTATATGCTAGATACTATGCTAACTATTTTAAATTTATTATCTACTTTATCCTCACAACCAACTCCAGGGATACTACTAGCATTTTTTTTTCATTGAAAGAAGAAGAAACTGAAGCTCAGAGGGGTCAAACTTCCTGAGTGGCAGAGCCAGGACTCAATCTTGTCTGATCTGTTCCAAAGCTGGAGACCACCCACTACCCTAGGACACCCTTCTGAGATTCAATTTCTTCATACAATTAGGATTATTGAGTGAGCAATGTGGTCTTCAAGCCATGTTTAGGAAGCAGAAATTTTTTAATATTACATGGAACACCAACATACAGAAGTCTACCTAGGGATGCCAGAATTTAGGCCTGGTGCCTCATCTCACTCCCCCAGCATCACCACCTGTCTGGTCACCCCATGGCCCTGGCCAACCTCACCTTCACCCCCCAAGTTCCTCCTCCTGGGCCTGATGGACAGCCCTGACACACACCCCCTGCTGTTCCTGCTCTTCCTCGGCATCTATCTGCTCAACGCCCTGGGCAACTTGAGCATGGTGGTGGTGGTGAGGTCTGACAGGGCTCTCAATCCCCCATGTATTACTTCTTGGGTCACCTGAGCCTTGTGGACGTCTGTTTTACCACGGTCACTGTCCCCAGACTGCTGGCCAGCCTGCTTCACCCAGGCCAGGTAGTGTCCTTCCTGGGGTGCTTTGCCCAGCTGTATTTCTTCGTGGCCCTGGGCATCACCGAGAGCTACCTCCTGGCAGCCATGTCCCACGACCGCGAGGTGGCCGTCTGCCGGCCCCCTGCACTATGCCGCGATCATGACGCCCTGGCGCTGCACAGTGCTGGTCGCTGCGTCCTGGGCCCTGTCCCACCTGCACTCGCTGCTCCACACGCTGCTCATCTCTGCGCTCTCCTACCCGCGCTCCTCTCTTGTGCGCCACTTTTTTTGTGACATGCCGGTGATGCTGAGCTTGGCTACTTCAGACACTTCAGCTGCAGAGGCTGCCATCTTCTCCGAGGGCCTGGCCGTGGTGCTGACCCCGCTGCTCCTCGTGTCTCTCTCCTACGGGCGCATCTTCCTCGCAGTGCTAAGGATGAGGTCTGCAGGCAGCCGTCGCCGCGCCTTCTCCACCTGCGGGGCCCACCTGGTAGTAGTGTCGCTTTTCTTCGGTTCTGTCCTCTCCGTCTATTTCCGGCCGTCATCCGCCTACTCAGCCCACTACAGCCGCCTGGCCAGCATTGTGTATGCGGTGGTCACACCGACCTTGAACCCTTTCATCTACAGCCTTCGCAACAAAGAAGTCAAGGGTGCTCTAAAAAGGGGGCTCAGCTGGAGGGCTGCATCCCAAGAAGTGTAGATATAGTTATTACCCTGAATGGGTGGCTCAGTTGGTTGAGGGTCTTCATGTACCAAAATGTAGGGTTGATCCCAGATCAGGGAATATACCCAGGTTGACAGTTCAGTCCTTGGTCAGGGTGTATATAAGAGGCAACTGATGGATGTCTCTCCCTCACACCAATGTTCACCTCTCTCTCTCTTTCCGCTCTCTCTGTTTCCCTCCCCACCGCCCATGATTTTCATGGTAAAAAAAATTTTAAATAAAGATAAACATAAAATTCTCCATGACTATTGCCCAACCCAACCTCCACTCCCATTCTAGTTATTAGTTTAGTACTTCTCTTTCTCTCAATCTCTGCCCCCTGTCATTCTTCCATGGTTTGGAAGCATAACTAGTATCATTCTCTGCATATTATTCTGCAATTTCCCCTTTTTCATGAAACAATGTCTAGGAGATCTCTTATTACTACAAATAGAACTTCATTTTTTAACCTCATAGAGCCCTATGCTGTGACATTGTACAAACATTCCTATTGATAATTTTTTTGCTGTTTTAATGTTTCACTATTTCAATGGTGTAATGATATTCTTATAAGAAAAATGATGAAAGGTAACATTTAGTGAGGAATAATCATATGCTAGGCTCTGTCCTGGGTGCTCTACACATACATCTCATTTAAACTGCACAAGATTCCAGGGTTGAGGGGAGGGGGAATTATTATTCTCATTGCGCAGACAGCAAACAGGCTTAGAGAAATCAAACAGCTTTCCCAAAGTCATAAGGCTAAGACATTCATCTTCTTCATTGATTTTAGTCGAGTCAATTTTTTTTCACCATTTTAAGCAAATTTTAGTAATATTTAAATTCTTAAGGTATAATTTTCCCTCAGATTTTTAATTTCTTGTTTTAAAGTTGTATATAGTATTCTCATGGTTTTTAATGTCCCTTTTAGCTGTTAATTTTGCTCCTTTTCCACTCCTAGAGTTCTTTATTTATGCTTTTCTTCTTGTTTTATATGCTAACATTTTATCTCACATTAATATTTCCCAAGAACTAGCATTGAATTTGCTATTATTCCTCTATTGTTTCTTGATTTTCAACACTACTTTTTCACTTTCATATTTTTTTAATTTCTTCCTCCTATTTTCCTTGTGTTGATTTTGTTATACTTTTCTAGATTCTTGTGGCTTATATGTCCTCTGACTTCAGGAGAGGGGAGTTTCTGCTATGTTCACTATTGATGGAACTTGACATCTCTTCTCTTAGCATTAATAACATGTTACTTTTCTTTTGAGAAGGGAGCTGATAGCCTTCTCAAGGCTCTCTGGTTCTTCTGATTCTCTCAAGCTCTGCCATCTTCTATCTGGTTCTGGTCTCTGTCCTCCAACTGCTACAGCATGCCTCACCCCTTATCCTGATGGCCTTTGGAGACACACTGGCCCTCAACTCAACTGCCATCCAGGCTTCACCAGGGCTTTTCAGATGTTTATGGCACAAAGTGGCTGAGCAGATTTGTGTTTGTGTGCATGTGGAGGTGGAGGTGGAATTTTAAACATGTTTCATCATGTCTCAGCACTGCCATGATGTGGCTGTGCCATGTAGTGGGGGCTGTTCTGCACAGCTGCCTCCTCCCAGAGTAGTGGCCAACAAGGATGGAGCTCTCTCTATGCCTTCCAAGTTCACTATGCCCAAAACGACTTGGAAGATTCTATCATTCCCTTTCCTGTTTGTAGGGGAACCAAGAACAGGGCCCCACACTAACATTTAAATTCTCACTAGAAACACTCTTATTTTATATTATTCTTGAAGTGGTCTGCAAAGTAATTCAAAAAGAGAAAAACAGAACTAAATATTTGGAAGGAGTATGCAACAATTATCAATATTTATATTCTCTTTGATTGTGTGTCTTCAATAACCAAATATTTAACTGAAAATCCTTATTAGAAAACAATAAGAAAATTCAATAAGGTGGAATGTTTTGAAGTTGATATATGAAACGATTAGTAACTCTTCTATGTACACAAATAATTACCTTTCCAAAGACACAAGAATAACCACCCCCAACATTTTTAATGGACAATACCTAGTACTAAATGTAGAAAATAATATACAGATATCAAACTAATAAATCTATAGTCTTCAAGTAAGAAAACTTGAATTAATGGAAAGACATTCCTTATTTATAGTTTGTAAGACAACTGTATAAATAGCCAACTCTTCTTTAGAAGTCAATGTGATAATTCTATCTAATTCCAGTTAATTTCCCAACATATTTTTGTTGGTATTTAACAAGATAGATCTGAAGCATATCTGAAAATATGTGTGTGTTGGGAAAGTTTTGTAAGAGAAGTATATTGAGAAGGGCTTGTCACACAAGATGTTTCAGATATATTATTATGAAGGCATACTTTATATAGTGCCAGTACATAAATAAGATGACATCAATATAATAGAGTCCAAAAAGAGACTCAAGTATATATGAGTACTTAGTACATTGTGCAGGTAGTTTTTAACATTAGGGAAGATGGGGACAACTGTCTTGCTGGGAAAGGGAAGAAGGAAAAGAGGGAATTGCCCTTAAGCCAAATTTTAGGCAGGTCAAAGGTAACTATGTGGAAACTAAAACAGTACAAGAACTAGGAAAAAAAGAAATGAGATCATATAATTTTGGAATAAAAAATGCTTGCTAAACATGTTAAAGAAAAAAGATATATCATGAAGTAAAAAATCAACTTATTTATCTAATTTGAAATTCATAATCCACAGTAAGGGCAAAATACACCACTACTAAAGTCAAAAATGCCACCAACACGAGAGATAAAGTGAGACTTTCCATACTAGGAAAACAGAAATCAACTCAAGGCAGAAGACATGGACAAATAACACACCAAAGGCAAAGTGGCTAATCAATATGCAGAGGTGTTTGGCCTCATTGACACATACAGAAATTCAGTTTAAAAAAAGTAAAATCTTATCTTTTTATATCAGGTTGATCAGTACTTTGAAAGCAAAATATCCAGTGTTGGAAACATAGTTAAGAAACAACCACTCTCATTTACTTTTGCAGGGAGTTTACCTTAGAAGAATTTCATGGAGGCAATTTGGCAATCTCTACCCAATTATTAAATGTTCATATCCTTTGATCTATTTCACCCATTTCTAAGAATGTGTCCCTAGAAACACAGGACAAGTCTGTCAAAAACATATGGAACTGAAAATAAAGTCTAAGCATTGTTCAAAATAATAAAAAACTGAAAACAATCCAATGTCCACCAAGAACAGATTATTTACAACAAGTATTAGAGAAGATAGGGAGAAAAGGGAGCCCTGGTACACTATTGGGACTCCAGACTAGTGCAGCCACTGTGGAAACCACTATGTAATTTCCTCAGAAAACTAAAAATGGATCTGCCTTTTGACCTGGCACTACCACAGCTGGGGTTATACCCTAAGAATCCTAAAACACCAATTCAAGAGGACCTATGCACCCCAATGTTCATGGCAGCACAATTTACAATAGCCAAGTGCTGGAAGCAACCTAAGTGACCATCAGTAAGCGAATGGATCCAAAAGCTATGGCACATTTACACAATGAAATACTATGCAGCAGAAAGAAAGGAGCTCCTTTGCTTCATGACAGCATAGATGGATCTACAAAACATCATGCAAAGTGAAACAAACCAAACAGTGAAAAACAAATACCATATGATTTCACCTATAAGTGGAACCTAATCAACAGAACAAGCAAGCAAAATATAATCAGAGACATTTAAATAAAAAACAAACTGACAGTAACCAAAGGGGAGGTAGGAGGGATGGTGATGGGGAGATGGGAAAGGGTCATCAAAGAACATATATTAAGGACACATGGACAAAGGCAAAGTGGGGTAGGATCAAGGGTGAGAGGTGGGAATGGCTGGGGGTGGGGGAGTTGCGGGGTTAAAATGGAGAAAACTGTACTTGAACAACAATAAAAAACCAAACAAACGAAAAGGTTACACAAAAAAATCACATTCAGAATTCCAAATCCAGAAATGTAAAATTTCAGTGTATGAACACTGAATTGTCTTTTTTAAAGCATATACCTACTTTATTTTATTATTATTGTTTTTACATTATTTTAACTGTTGATACTATTACAAAAGGGCCCATTCTCTGCCCGCCCCCACCATTTGCCCACCTCACCCAGCCCCCACTCCCCTTTTCCTTTGGCTACCACCACACTGATGTCTGCATCTATGTGTCCGCACACATATTCTGTGGCTGATCTCTCCATCTTCTTTCATCCAGCCCCTCACTTCCCTCTCCTCTCTGAGACCTGTCACTCTTGAACATTGAATTTTCCTCTGCCTCCAGCTCCCTAATCATTGTTGTGGGTGGCAGTGCCTCTTGAAAAAGAAATTTTGCCTTCGAAAAGGCCAAATTGTAAAATTTCTAAATTGTAAACATTTGTAAAATTATAATGGCTAATTATAATCCTAATTAGTTTCACCATTGGTCATATTAACACATATAAAGATTTTCTTGAAATAAAATTTGTGATGTTTTAAATAAACCCCTGACTTACTCCAAAAAACTTCAGATTATTTAATAAATTATACTTAATGCATCCATTCAAGAAAACACTATTTAACTTCTAAAAGAGTTACATGTCGTTGTATGAAATGATGAATTCAAAGTATATTTTAGCCCTGGCTGGTGTAGCTCAGTGGATTGAGCATGGGACTGTGAAGCAAAGGGTCACCAGTTTGATTCCCAGTCAGGGCACATGCCTGGGTTGCAGGTCAGGTCTCCAGTAGGGGACACATGAGAGGCAACCACACATTGATGTTTCTCTCCCTCTCTTTTTCCTCCCCTTCCCCTCTCTCTAGAAACAAATAAATAAAATATTTTTTAAATCTAGCTGAATGGATTTCATTTTTTAAAAAACTGCATTTTATATGAAAACAATGAGGAAATAACATGTATAATTTAGATTTATTTATTATATTCAATGTTAGTCTGAATATTTCCCAACT